TAAGAGTGGCCCATTCCTACAATTCACGGTGTCTATCTAGACTAAGAAGAGTGAATAATCATAGCCCTCACTCATGTTTCCGACAACCAAGTGATGTGAATCGGGAAAGCTCGATGTCACAAATGATAGGTCATGTCGAATATGTTTTCAAGCCATCCCTTATGAGAAATAAAGAGGATATTTGTGTTTATCCATCGTGAATATTGTCTTGTTAGGGAGGGCTAACATTTTCAGACTATTTTCCGAATTCAACTGTCGGCACTGATACTTCTGAAATTCTGCTGTTCTGAAATAGTTCAGTATTTACAGTGAGATCAATGTGAGATTACTTGTGTTGAAATTTGACACAAATTGTACAGCAGTCAGCTGTCAGTATCCAGTTATTCACATACTGTCTGTAGGTTAATCGAGGAGGTGGTACATTCATTTTACTTGGTTCTTTGGGATTTTCTCTCCTCGTTTCTATAAAATAAAAGTATTCGTATTATTTCAATATATTTGTAGAGGGACAAATCAGATGATTTGCCCCAAAATGTCACTGCGTTTAACAAATTTTTCTATCAGGGAGTCTAAAAGAAAAATCCAGTAGCTTGTCAGTGACAATTTGTTTGAAAAAATTTTTGAAGGAAAGAAATATAGATATATTGAAAAAATATCGAATTTGTACTTATCTTTGGACGGGAGCAGAATCGGTCACGAAAAGTCCAAAGATAAGTACAAATTCGATATTTTTTCAATATATCTATATTTCTTTCCTTCAAAAATTTTTTCAAACAAATTGTCACTGACAAGCTACTGGATTTTTCTTTTAGACTCCCTGATAGAAAAATTTGTTAAACGCAGTGACATTTTGGGGCAAATCATCTGATTTGTCCCTCTACAAATATATTGAAATAATACGAATACTTTTATTTTATAGAAACGAGGAGAGAAAATCCCAAAGAACCAAGTAAAATCAGTTATTCACAGTTTTTTCATAATTACATTAAAGAAATGGAAAATATAGTAGTTGTACAAGAAAACTATAAAAATGAGATAAGATGTGAATATTCCAGGATTTTCCAATCCTATCCTATCAGTTTCAAGTTATTTGGTAGTGAATTGTATTGTATTATTCCATTGTGGTAGATGTTTTTTTTACCAATATCTGATTTAATTTTCATGACAGAAAAATCTGCTCGTCTAGTCGTATGGTTGTGGTGATTACAAATCGAGCAAACCAGCTTCGAGATATAATGAGCAGAATGTAATTTGAATGTCTCGATTTGAATAATTTTCTTTGATAATCATATTTTAATCACGATAACATTTTCGTGCTCAGAAAATATGTTCACCCCGTTATTGTTAGCTTGCTGACCCCACGTTACCTTTCTGTAGTCAGTAATTTCTGCAGAAATGATAACCGAAAATATTCAGAATGGATAGAGAATATGTCTGGTCTCGATAGTCTCGATCACTTACAGTGACATTTTTGATTTCGATTCAGTACTGACAGTTGAATTCGGAACATAGCTTTAGTCTCAGTTGGCGTTGCGTTACTAGAGCGTGAGCTCTCTGTCAATGTCAGAAGTTTGAAAATTTTGTCGGATAGCCCTAAAGGTTGACTTCTGTTTTTTTCAAAATATTACTGAAAAAAAAGTATCACGCAAATTTTACATTGAAAGAGAAGAGAATATCTTAGGAAGAGGCCAAATGAAACGAAAAGAAGAAGTATACTTATCAGTTTTACCAACGTTAACCTCTCCTCTCAGTAGAGTAGTCTGGTGGCAATCAAAATTTGATAATCCTCATTGAATATACTGATGTATGAGGTTGCTGCTAAAAATCGTGGACGTGGTAAAAATTGTGGAGTTTCTTAGAGATGGAGAGGAACTGATTCACCTGAGTCTGGACAGAAAGTGAAAGTGATGTATGTTATAGACTGTTGGCCCGCGACACAGGGTTTATCGATGTTCTAAGTCGGTATGCCATTTAAGGGACCCACTCACTTAGTCCAAGTTAACAGGAAGGTATGCCTCGGAGAGTCGCAACCCAGTCCTTGCCCCGGCCCTGACCTCGCCTTTCGGTTGGAAAAAAGTTCAAAATTTTGTTTGAGAAGAAGCTCGGCAATGAAGTGCAATGATCTTATCTCACGAAAATTAGGGCACTTGCCGGTTGGCATACGCCTAGGTCACTCCCCACGGGCGGCATACGAACCGGAAGTGGTAATTTTTCAGTGTTATAGTCGATGATCTAAAAATGTATGCCCTTTGGCGAAACAATGATCTAAGAACCATTAATCAATTTACCGACATTTGCATACGATTCCGGGGAGGGGAGCTCGACTTATTCGAACATCATTTGACTGGATATCCTTCAAATAATCGATAATCGAAGAAATGTTAAAATTTTGACCATGGTTATTGGACCACACAGTATTATGAGATGATGGTTTGCATACAATTCGCACATTCCGTACAAGGTGGTTCACCATCAAATATCTCCCATTGTAACTTAGTTGTTTCTGAACCGATTTTAAAATTTCAAAAACCAATTAAAATGATATTCTTAAGAGATTTTTCATTGTTATTGAAAAATTCACAGGCTGTTCATAACAAATGAACTATGGGGTAGTTGTTGATTTTTTTTTACTGGAACACTATATTTTATTTCACTATCGAGTTGAGATTATCATGACAAATACAGCTCTACAGCATCTAGCGATATCATTTACACGCACTCTTATAGCGATCATGCGCCAAATTGTCAAATTGTGCCAGAAATAAGAATCCCGGGTTTGAAGTATTTTCTTTTTTTTTTCTGATACAATTTTCATATCTGAACAATGATTTGCTGCGTCGGCCGGGTAGAGTGTAGCACGTAATGATTTAGGCATTCAATAATGTTTTTCCCTTTTATCGGATATCCGATATTTAAATATATCAAAACCCATTTACTTTTGTATAATGCATATTACAGATTTATTCACTTCTTACCACCTCCCCTACCAGTGGAATAGATCGGATTACCAGTAACCCTGTATGTGAGTGCAGCGTGTGAATCTTATCGCTAAACGCCAGTCGACTATACTGGATTTGATGAAGTTATGTCATTGTCAGTAACATAAAAAATAATGAAGGGGGCTGGGCCCTTGATAATTTTTCATGTTACCGATGATGGTTATGTCAAATAAGTGGAAATGTCGTTAGTAAGTGGTTTTCCCGATAAAGTTTCCCACAAAAAAATTTCTTGGTACTAAACCTCTCACACGTAATTTTGTTGAGCTGTAAATTTCTGATGAATAAATACAATTATATCTGCAATTTGCGTCTTCGAATACTCCCATCACTCCTAGGAAGTTAATCTTGACCCGGTTTCATCTGAAGTGTGATTATGAGACTTCCAGATTATCTAGTTCGCTTTCGGTGCACCTCTGGCCTGCAATGCGGGGCGCCGCGCCGGACCGAGGCGCGCGTGGGTTTGCCCGATTATGCTCACATTGAATTCGTATGCAAATAGCATCCAGTTATACAGAATATCCTAGTTTATCGGTCCAGAGATGTGCATACGAACTCAAATCATCGATTATTTGAAAGATGTCTAGTCAATTGATGTTCGAATAAGTCGAGCTCCCTTCTCCGGAATCGTGCGAATGTCGTTAAACTGATTAATGGGTCCGAATGAATTGTTTCGCCAAAGGACATACATTCTTAGATCATCGACTATAACACTATAAAATTTCCACTTCCGGTTCGTATGCCGCCCTCGGGGAGTGACCTAGGCGTACGCAAACCGGTAAGCGCCCCAATTTTCGTGAGATAAGATCATTGCACTTCATTGCCGAGCTTTTTCTTAAACGAAATTTTGAACTTTTTTCCAACCGAAAGGTGAGGTTAGGGCCGGGGCAAGGACTGGGTTGCGACTCTCCGAGACACTCCTTCCTGTTAACTTGGACTAAGTGAGTGGGTCCCTCAATAATTGGCATACCGACTTAGAACATCGATAAACCCTGTGTCGCGGGCCAACATTCTAATAGGTACATGTTAGAAAATCTTCCGAAACCTCAAATTTTTCAAATGGGACCTTCTATTTTTTCTCTTGGATAATAAATAAAAATTTTTTTGATAGATTAAATTAAATTAGGGAGGAACCCATTATCACAATGAATACAAAAAACACTACATATTGAGTTTGTCCTCTGAATTAAAATTTTCAAACATTACCTAATGAATAAGAAACCTAATAAACCTTGACTTTTTATAAATGGTGCTGGAAATAAAAAAATCTCGGAACTAAAACAAAGTGTTTGCGGACAGTCGGAGACATATTATTACTAGTTATTTATTATACTAGAGAAAAAACTGGTAAATTTTAACTCCTGGTTGTGTTGACAAAAAACAGTGAGCTGAAATCTAATATGTTTTCCTAGTGTAATGAACCATTTTTTTCTGTGACAAGGAAAAAAACGAATCAGTATTTAGAAGATATCACATTATATCAAAATCAGATAATTATCGATGTGAAATCTGAAAGTTTTAACAGGAATGACACCTGCGTTGAAGGCATCTTTTTGCAGGCATCTTTATCATTGTTTTGAAGTAATCAAATATCTGTCAGTCTCATTCTGTGTTTTTTTTTTAAATTGTGAACTTCCTGGCTGTAGCAATTTACGTAACCGCGAAATGGAATGGTAGGTACTTCGCGCACTGTTTTACTTTGCGCATTGTTTTGTGCAAGGTATCATGGTAACGTAGGAAACTAAAAAAGTGTTACTTCGCAATTTGTTATCAATAATCGAACCTTGTCATTTTTTGACGTTTGTAGGAAAAAAATTCTTGGGCTAATAGAGACAATTGAATAATATCTAATCATTGATAGTCAATAGCTGAATAATACAGTGTGTGCATCGTATTGCTGTTATACTAACCGAAGTTTTATATCCCGGAATGTATTTTTTAATAACATCGACTTTCCACCGACCTCCACTGGAACGATACTGACGTGAAAATCGACTTTTCTAGGCGGGGTACCATGGGCATTTCATCGTCCCGCCTGAGTTCGACAAAACGCGGATCCATCCAGACTAGCGGCAACGGATCAGGGGATGATTCCACCACCCAAGACGAGGCCATGGATGGGGACGACGTCCCTTCGTAATCAGGGAGTGGGGCGTCCCCTTCCGACTTATTTAAATTATATTATCTAAATATATTATTTACCTACTGACGGTCACTACGAAATTCCATGCAAAACCAAAATGCTTCTTTGTATATATTTATAATTCGTCTAGTACTTAGCGGGTGTTTGTCAGGAAATTGTGAACTAGCAAACTACTGTTCAATTGAGGTGCTCTTCAGAAATTTTTAGTGGATTTCAACTTCCAATAACCTCGTGAAAGAATAACTAAGAATGCTTAGTGATCATTGGAATTGCAAGGTCAAATGACACTTTGATGAATTCCCACCACGAAAAATCAGTTTGGAATAAGTTCACAAATCATCATCTATGTAGCAGAAATCAAGTAGGTCTGGAAGAATTGAAAAAACCACGGTAAGACTGACTGCATTTATCATGCGATGGCTTTTTTTCGAAAATGTTTTTTGCTACTTACGTACTTTTGTGTGAAAAACACGAATTTGATAATGAAAATGTGAACAAACCACTATTTATCGAGATATTTCAAGAAAAAGTTCGAGCTACCTGCTCTTCTTATTTTGTCATTGGACACTTTATATACTCATTATGTACTTCAATGACACATTTTTATACAGAAAATTCAACAGGAAATATGATTTTTATGACCAGTTTTCCATATTTAGTGAGCAAGCATACTAGGTGACGGCCATTTTAGTGAAAATATGGATAAATCACAAGAAAATCAGATTTGTAGTTGACTCATATGATAGAATAGGAATGTGTCGTACATTGTGATATATATCAATTGTCCAATGATGAAAAAAGAAGGGCAAATTGTCCTGAATGCGAACCAGAAGACGGGCGGAAAAGAAGGTGAAATTTGTTAATTTATAGCGAAATATCTTGATAAATAATGGCTTGTTCACATATTCATTATCAAATTCGTGTTTTTCAGACAAAAATACGTGAGTACCAAACAAATTTTCAAAAAAAAACCATCGCATGATAAATGCAGTTTTTCCAAAACCACATTCAGCTGATTCTTTGAAGTTGAATTTCCTTTTGAAATTGTGGGCAGCCATTCAATTGAACAGAGGTTTACATTATATTGAAGGGGTAAGCAGTGGCTGAATTATTCTGGTATTGATATAAATTTCCAGGAAGTAAACAATGAAAATGATCTCAATCCTTTGAATTTCTTTGAGGATCTTGGGATTTCTTGGATTATGCTGGAATTTCATGAATTGTCTCAGAATTTCCGGGATCCTCCTGTCCAGAATCCCGAAATTCTGTGGCAAAACTAATATGTAATTTGTTTTTTCCAAATTTTCACCGCGGATTGTGAATAACTCAACAGTTTGAAATGCAGTTCCAATATTTCTTGTTCTCCTGTAATTACTTAACAGTGGCGGATCCTGATTTTGTAGAACCCCAGAAGCACCTCATTTGGAAGCCCTGTCAAGGTCGTAGCAATGATTTTTTTCAAGAAACCGGGGGCCAGATTCGAAACAAAAAAACTGAACGATCAAAACAGTAGGCGTAAAAAATTTGCCGTTAGTAGTATACTGTGGATTTAGATTTATCCAAACAGAGTGAAGATTATATTAGCTCACGCTTCATTACTACAATGTTCTATAAAATTCTTTTGAATTTCCCGAAAGTTTAGTATTCAAAATGTTGACACTGGTTGATGTTTAAAATCTTAGAACTGGGGTTTATTGAATTTTATTGATTCCTTGGTAAAAACCCTGAACTTTTCTTTAATTCTATAGCATCCTTTTTGGAGTAAAAAATCTTGACCAAAGTTTACCCCTGAATCAGATTGTAATCAATGGCCAGAAGCATGTGTCTTAGTTCATTGAGGTTGACAAAAAATGTCAAACCTTGTTTTTTCTGGAAAACACTTTTTTTTGTTAGTAATAGTAGGGCTTATGATTTTATTAATGGTGTTCATTTATATTTTTTATGTTTTGATTATGATGCATTTTATTTATACAAATTCCTTTATGATATAACTTTTCCGTTCGGTTGTTATAATTGATTTAAGCTTATGACAAGTATTTGTGAAACTGTTACAGAATAATTTAACATACCAATTTTGCATCAGCGTATTGCGGTATATAAACAAAAATATTAAACAATTTTGCTAATAATGAAACTAGCCTAGCAGTTAATGTTTTGATACATAATATTTTGTAGAATATATATTTTGTAAAGACATCTATTTTATTCTAACATCATTTTGATATGCATGTTTTTGTATAAACAATTTCCTGCATTTTGTAAATATATCTTTATGGGGGTCAGGGCTCATTATTCAATTATATGTATGGAATTGAATAAAATGCTATTAAACTAAGCAAATAAATCGTTTTCTAAGTCAACATATACAGGGTGATTCACGTAGGCCACGCATAAGTTTTTCAACTTGAAAATGGGAATGCTGTTATAATGGATCATTTCTAATCTACCCGAAATATTTTTAATTCTCTAGCTATACAGGGTGTGCCAAAAGTCGACACCAACTCTCTAATTTTTCACACGTTTCTTCTGATTATGAGTTGAGGAAACCTAGTTTTTATTAAATTATCTATCGCAGTTTTTGGGATATATCGATTTTTCTGAAAATGATTATCGCCGAAGTAGTTCACGAAAACATTTTGGTACCTACTAATTTTTGACACCATATGAACGAAAATTGAATGAGGATTCCTCATATTCCTTATGCCTAATGCAAACCTCCATCAAGTTCTCAATAAAAATCAAGAAATCAACTATACAGTGTCATTCATAAAGTCGGCATCATATGGAAAAAACTTTTATTAATGACTTATTTTGAAATTCGAGTTGGACGTCAAGTTTTGCTTCAAAAAAGATTAAAAATGGCCTACTCAATCGGGGTCACGTGTCTTTCGCTACATGTCAAAAGTGACATTTTTTCAAATTAATCGCTGAAAGTAGACTCATTTGTTCGAATATCGAAAAAGTTTACTTGAAACAGTTGTTTCCATTTCAATTTTACACATGCTTCCCGAATTTGATCTTTCTATTGCAACTTTTAGATTTTGTTTTTTTTTTTTAGTTTTTCGAAATTTCTGTAATATTTGAAGATAGATAGATAGAGTTTATTTAACTATGTTACATACAAGTATGTATGTTGATTCCACTAAACTACTTCATACCAGTAGCTTTTTCATGCTACTTACTTTCAATTACTTATCACTGATTATGGACAGAAAAATGATTTTCTTCAGAAAATGATAATACCCGCTTCCAAATTCTGTTATGTTTGATGCAATGATATATCGTCAAGCATTCAGAAACGAAATTCATTTAAACTGATCTTTTCAGTACTGAAAAAATAAATTTAAATGAATTTCGTTTCTAAATGCTTGACTCAAACATAACAGAATTTTGATGTTATGTTTGGATCAAACATAACAGAATTTTGAAGAGGAGATTATCATTTTCTGAAGAAAATCATATTTTTGTCGATAATTTGTGATAATTAGTAATTGAAAATTAGTAACATGATGAAGCTACTGGTATAAAGCAGTTTTATCGAATTTACAATTTTTTTAATTTTACAGAAATTTCGAAAATTTTTAAAAAATATCGAAATCTAAAAAATGTAATAGAAAGATAAAATCCGAGTCAAACATGTAAAATTCAAATAGAAACAACTTCTTCAAGTAAACTTTTTCGATATTCGAACAAATAAGCCTACTTTCAGCGATTAATTTGAAAAAATGTCACTTTTGACATGTAGCGAAAGACACGTGACCCCGATTGAGTAGGCCATTTTTCATCTTTTTTGAAGCAAAACTTGACGTCCAACTCGAATTTCAAAATAAGTCATTAATAAAAGTTTTTCCCATATGATGCCGACTTTATGAATGACACTGTACATGGTGATTGAAAAAGAAACAAATATCTCGGCACGTTAAAGCGGCCACAACCAAAATTATAACGTTCTGCTTTTTACATTTAGTATTCTGATTGGTGAAGCAGAATCTGGAATGAAACGTGAATTGAATTGAAGCAAATGTCGTTTAGGCCAAAAAAACGTCAACGTGAGTTTTAACGGCTTTTCTCAGTTGCCTTGGTTTTGTCATTTGTCCTTCATCCTAATTTGAAGTGAAATAATCAGAACAATAATATTGATTAGATAATGATTAAAAATATTCATTGAACTGGCGGAGACGTAAATTACTCCTCATTCAATACAGAATCAATCCTCTAAAAGAAAATAATTAATTGAACAGTACATATCGACTATTTCTTGGATCTACAAAATAATTGTTAGCAAAAGCATTATCATAACTTCCATAGAATGTTCCATAAATATGTATTGTTCTATTGGAATCACAACCTAAGCGGCGTTCACAACCAAACTTTTTACGTTTCATTTTCTGATTGGTGAAGCAAAATCTGTGATTGAAATGACGCAGAAAGCTGAAAATATTCAGCTTTTTGCGTTGTAAGAAGCCATCGTCTGTGGAAATAGTAAAAATAGAAAATGATATTGTTGAATGGAAATTACTACTGTTAGTTCTGATAAAACAATACATGTATGAAACCTTCTATATGGAAGTTTTGATAATGTTTTTGCTAATGATTTTTTCGTGAATATTAGATAGGTATAGGTACTGTTCAATTTATTACTTTCTTCTTGATGATTGAATTTTCTCTTCAAGTATTGAATGTGGATCAATTCACGTCACTGCCAGTTCTATGAATATCATCAACTATCTAATTAATATCATTGTTATGATTATTTAACATCATTTCAGGATGAAGCACAAATGACAAAACCAAGGCAACTGAGAAAAGCCGTAAAAAGTCATGTTGAATTTTTTGTTGTTGTGAATGACATTGCATAGTTTCAATTCACGTTTAATTTCAGATTCTGCTTCACCAATCAGAATCCGAAACGTAAAAAGCAAAACGTGAAAAGTTTGGTTGTGAACGCCGCTTTACAGTAGTATTTTCCATTTTTATAACAATATTTTTTTTATCGCTTGATCCGAAGAATATCGTGCGTACCTAGGGAGGATAAGGAGAGAAGGTAGGTGTTTAATTTTTCTCGACCTTTGGAGATTATAAGTTCTA